GCTTTTTTGGCAGACTGCCTGTCTCAGCCCTGCAGGAGAACTTCCAGCCCTTGTTAGGACTCCTCAAGGAGTCTGTGCAGTTGAACTTGGCTCCTCCTGGACACTTCCTTCTCCTCAGGTACTAAGAGAGAAGCTTTAGAGGTGCATTGACAGACATGTACAGCCACTAACCTGGAGGGAATTGCTTTTCCCACAGCACCCTGAATGACTTTGTGACCAGGACACCCACTCTGGAAAACAAAAAAGACCAAAAAGACTTGCAGGTACAGTGGATAAATGCTCACCTTTCAGTTCCTAAGTCTGGCACTGTACATCTGAGTAAAAGTGGACATGACCTGCTCTGTTCTTCGTATCTGAATTCCCCTGTGCTTTTGGGAATGCCTGGATGTGCATCCACACATTTTGGCTGAGGCCTGGTAAATAAGGGAGGCTCAAACAGGAGGGACAAACAAAATTTTGTCCAAATGTTGTGTGAAACCACAAACTTTTCAAAGGTGATTTCCCTGGGTAGTTTTAACGATCTCTCTCAGAATTGGAGTCGTAACACAAGTGTGATGTCAAGGGTTCATCTCCTCTGTGTAAATACTGAAATCTCAAAGCTATCTAGGAAAATTAGTGGCCTAATTATCCCTGAAGCTCCCAGCTGTGTTTGGCAATGGAAATGACTCTGAGCTCACCTGTTGTGTAAAGAAGGGGCAGAGCAGAGCAGGATTTTCCTCCTGTCCTGGTGGTGATTTCACCACAACAGTTCAAGCACCACTTATGTGGGTGCAGTTTTGGCTCTGAGGGGGTGAGATGTGGTTATGTTTATAGTAATTTTGTATGCCAACAGAGCAATTAAGTCTCCACTTCTGCTTCAGAGACTTGCCAACAAAATAACAACAGTGACAGAAAGCTTTGCCATCTTACAGCCTTTTCCCAAGTGGCCTCTGCTTTGCTTTGGCCAGATGGGGTTTGGTTTAGTTACAGTCACCAGCTTCTCATTTTCCTGGGAATTAAATATGCCAAGTGATGATAGTGTCCATCTGATGCCACTTTTTCTGCTCATGTTACAGGAGGTGACCCAAAAAATCCTGGAGGCCGTAGGGACTGTGGCTGGTTCTTCTCTGGAACAGACCAGTTGGCTGAGCAGGAACTTGGAAGTGAAAGCTCAGCCTCAGATTTTACCAGACGACTTCAACATGGAAGATGTGAATGGTAAAGTGGTTTTCTGTGATTTCCTGCCCCCTCCTCTCCTCTGCTGAAGGCCTTGAAGAGCAGAAGGTGTTTGATAGTGTGTGGTTTGCATGGGTTTACATTTCACTGTGATACCAACATGCAAACAGCAGTTCTGTTTGGGAGGCAAATTAGGAAACAGCAAAATCTGGACATGCCTGAAGAAGAACACTGAATTATTTTGCCTCTTTCAGATACCTCAGTGGCACCATCATCAATGGTTTCTGCCTCTGCTCCTTCCATATACAGCGTCCAAGCCCTTTCTCTCCTTGCTGAGGTAAGTAGGACCCTCTCATCTGTGGGGTGGTTTTGATATAATTAAGCTGAGGTGGGTTTGATATTATTAAGCCTTGATATTATTAAGCAGTTTAATTTAACTTACTAAACATTAAGTTTCCCAGGTAGATAAAATAGGAGTGCAAACCTTCCCTGAAGCATCTCGTGGGCACACACGTTCCATCCTGGAATGTTGCACGTTCCCCTTCTGCCAGAAATGCCAGCTTTGGGTTTAAAGAGATGTTCTTTTCATTTTTTGAGGTCCTTGCCTCTCTTCTGGACATGGTTTACAGGAGTGATGAGAAGGACAAAGCTGTGCCACTGATCTCACGTTTGCTCTACTACGTCTTCCCTTACCTGCGCAACCACAGGTGGGTCTCT